AAAAAAAACTGTTCAACTCTAACAACAACCTGAGGGCAAATAGTCCTTTACTTTGAACAAGAGACAGTAAGAACACAGTACCAGAAGGTATGATGAAAAGATAAAGAACCAATAGCATCCCTTTGCTCTGAAAACTTAAGAGGTCATTCATGGCCTTAAGCAAGAGCAGTTTCAGTGATGCGATGGGAATGAAAACCATATTAAATGAATAATTGTGAGGTAAAGAAACAGAGAGCAAGTATAAAATGTTCCTGTGAAAAGGAGTCAAGAAATACAACAGCTGCTGGGTGGAGAGTAGAGTCATTTTGTTTTTGTTGTATTTCTTAATGTTCCGCATAGTGTTATGCTGTTGGAAATGGTAGAAGAAAAGGAGATGGGAAGAAAACTGAAACAGTGATGTCTCCAAAAAAGTGAAAAAGAAAGAGATTCAGAAAAAAAAGTGCAAGAGTTGTTCATTTGTGGCAGTAAAAAAAATTCTTCCATTCTGAAAAGGCAATGATGAGGGGCCTCCCCAGTGGCGCAGCGGTTGAGCGCTGGGTTGCGAAGCTGCCCACAGCCTCTGCAGCGCCAGTTCGATCCCCGGCTGCTCCCTGGCCACCGGAGGAGAGTCCCACATGGCACGCAGACCTCTCCTGCCACCCGCTGCTCCCCTCAGCAGTGTACCTTGGTCCTTCTTCCTGCTCTGCTCTTTGCTCTGGCTCTGGTGAATTCTCTCACCCTCCCGCACTTCTGACTGTGCCCAGTGCTTGTATAAATAAATAAATAAATCTTTAAAAAAAAAAAAGGCAATGATGAGTCCAGGTGCACATAGTTGAAAAGATAAGCATTCCCCTATATTGCCTTTTATTTTTTCCCTGTGGTTTCAATTAAGGAAAGTGAGGCAAAGAGCTGGAAACAGCAGGAAAAAGTAAAGAGGCAAAGTCCCAAGTGAGGATTCAAACTAGTTGCACACTTGCCCTGAAGCTAAACTGTCCTCTCCACCATGGTAGTGTCCACAATATTAAAAATACTGATTATCTTGTCATTCTTGAAAAACTCTTACGTTGCCTTGTGTGAATCCACCCTCACCAAGTTTTTCTCCTAAGGTATTGCTCCTTCTCTGCCTCTTGTATTAATTTTTCCACCTCCATCCACACTACAAGGCATGGGACTCCTGTTAACTGAATCTCAGGCCTTGTCTATTCTATGTCATGGAGAGAAGTTGACAACCTACTAGCTCAATCCTCTCTGTTGAACACAATGTCTGAAAAGAGTAAATACTCAATAAATTTTTGTTTGAATAATTAATTTGTTATACTGGGACTCACTGTGTATTTTTCTGAGGAAATGGTCTATAAATTCAATCAAATTTAAAAAGGCCCAAAATCCAAAGAAACTGAAAATTAAAAGCAATAATAAAGACTATCCTATATTTAGATCTATAAGTCTAGGAGATGTCACCCGTACTTCATGAAACACTTTAATGAATCCTGATATCCTAAGTCATTTCAGAAAAAAGGGGAAAAAAAGCAAATGATCTCACTCCTTTCATTGATCTCTCAGGTTTTTTAAATGATTTAGGAATTTTTCCCCTTTATAGTACATATTTCTTGACACCCAACTCTGCAATTATACTATTGCAAGTTATCTGCTTTCTGACTTAAAATTTCTTGTCTAAGAAATTACTCATCCTTCTTAATTTCCCTTGTTTTTTGGTGGAATCCCACTGACTGCTGAGTTTCTGAGCTGGGGCATGTCCCATCTCAGCTTGGGTTAGAGGCATGTCTGCCACAGGCACTCAACATGCTGTCAGCTCCCTAAATCATCTGATACCTAAACAGTCATAATGTTTCATGCACGAGCTATTTGATGCACCATATTTTACATCTGTGATGAGGAAATGTTCTATAGATTCAATAAAATTCAAAAGGTAGAGAACCATATTTTAGGCTGAGGCCAGAATCCAACTCTCCTCATCTAATCCCAGCAACAACAGTGGCATAAATTCAACTCTGCCTCCACCAAAAAGGAAAAAAATTAAAGAAGCCCCCTCCCCCACACTTTCATTGACAATAAGACCCAGGGGAACATGGATTCCCCTGTGTCTTGAGCTCCCACTCATACAATGAGGTTTATATCATAATGTGCCCTCCCCCAAAATGTAAGCTCCATGAGGGTATGAACTAAAAGAACACTACTGCTTGTTAGAGATGTCTCTGCTCTGGGAAACTGCCAACTCAGCAGCTGCAGAGACTGAAGTCAAAAATAAAGTTTTGCACTGAAGAAGACTTGTGGCCAAATTGCATACCAAGGTTACCCCAGCTCCCCAGACCCAGACTGCTCATCATGTTGAGAGTTGTGGGAGGAACCAGAGCTGCACATATTGACCTTCACATGTCTTCAGAAGCACTCTCAACCATAGAAAAAAAAATCTTTATAAGCCTCAGTTCCCACACACTGATATTGTCTGATTGCAGAGTAAGAGATAATTTTTTTATGTTTGATATGACATTCCTCCTTTTTTATTAACCAGAAATGTAACCAGTCATCTCCTTTATTTCTGCCATAGAAGAAATATGTATATTTTCTTCTGTACATGGTAGCCCACCTGCACCAACTATATACAACTGAACCCCAAAACCTCTGGAGAGTGGGACCAGCACTCACAGCAATCTGAAATTGTCTCTCCAGGTCTATGTCCTCAATTTTCTATGAATAATCTCTTAAATAAACTTCTATTTTAGAACAAGGGACTGTAGTGGCAGTTCACAGATGTGGTGGGAGCTCTGTGGGGACTACACTTGAGGGAAGAAATCAAATACTGTACAAAAATGAACAATGATATAAGAAAATCACAAAGTTAATAAAATAAATAAATGAAAATAAACTTCTCTTTTAATTGCTTCACAACATGACAATTTCAGTCCACAAGGACAGGTATTTTTCTCCTCCCATTCATTGTTTTATTTCCGAGTACTGAAGCAACGCTGCAGAACATAGAGGGAAGAATGAATTGGTTAAATGATGGGTTGGAAGAATGAATTGGTTAAATAAAAGAGCAAATTAATGTATCTATGAAAGCCTGTGAAGACAGGAATAAAGTTTCTTCCCTTCCATAGCCTTCCAGCCTCTTATTTTCTATTGTTCCTCTCAATATTACCCCCCTTCCCATGCTACTATTAGTCTCATCAATCATTTATTTTCAAATCCTTTTAAAGCCCCATCTCTTCTTTGAAGTCTTTCCTCAACTCAACCTTGCTCCAGCTCCTTGTAGGATATACCTCTACCATTTATTCATCAACATACACTGATTATCTGGTGCTTTGTAATGTTAATATAGAGGACACTAAAGAAACATAAAATGAGAACTCTCTTTTCAGTTCAAATGAAACATGTAATTAGAAAGTAATGGAGTCATATAAAATATTGTCCGATCAGGTCCCAAAATGAGTAATAAAAACAAACAAATGGTAGTTAATATTAGGTATCTCTCCAACCTTGTTCTCCAGTGTTACCCTTATCCCATTTTGTTCCAGCGATAGAGCAATAATGTCACAACTTCATATATATTCACTTGATCTGTCTGGATGTTGAACTTACAATGTTTCTTTTTATTCTTCAAATCCAAGGTCAAGGATTCCTCTATCAAGCTTCTACTGTCCTTTCGCTCTCAACAAAACTTACCATGTTTTACTTCATGTCTTTGAATGTACTCACTACTGCACTTACCAAGCATAAAATTAATTACGTGTTAACCTTTGTGTGTCCCATCTTAGACTATTTTCCCAATTTCTATCTGTAAAGTAAGAAAAAATGACTTTGTAATGAGTTGAAGAGTTATAGGAAAGCCTTTGGGAATGCCTCATTGTCTCAATTTTTCATTATCAGACATTCTATACCTTAAAATGAGTTGAATCTACAATAGCCTTCAAGTGAAATTCTGGTCTAACAAGAGCCAACATTGATTTAGACTTAATTGTAAAGAGGTAACATATCTCAAAACTCCAAGAACTCTGGGGCCGTGAAAACCGGGTGTTGACACATGGTTGTTCTCTTTGTGAAAGAAACCCAGAAAACCTGCATTTCCTTAGGTTAAACACTTTTTCTCTGTTTAAAATAAAGCAAATGATTCAACATTTCTGGAAGGCAATTTGCCTATATTTATCCAAATTAAAAACATCTGTATCTTTTAATATAGTACTTCTAGGAATAACACCTACAGAAAATAGGTGTAAAAAAAATTTAAAAGGATGTTCATTGTACCACTTTTATAATTAATTTTATAATTAATAACATTTTAAATGGCACCCCAAAAATGTAATCTAAAGTGCCCATGAAGTAAACTATATGTACAGACACGTAAAGTTGTGTCACATAAATTTTGTGTTGGGTCAACAAAGTAAGTTGCAAAACAATAGATAATAGATCTCACTTTTTAAACTATAAAGATGTATATTTTAAACTATAGAGGTGTATATTTTTATGTTTGACTTCTATGTTCACAGAAGCATGATAAAACAGATACATCTGGGAAGTCATCTGGGAGGAGGTGGAGATGAAGAAGGATTTTAAACATTTTTGTCTGCACTTTTTAAAATTATACCAAGGCATGTCTTTTTTGATACACCCTCTATTCAAGTAGTAGACATTGGGTAATATGATGTCTGCAACTAATAACTCATTTAATGAAATGTTGGGAAATGAAAGAAACCAAATGATTTCACAGACAGCTAAGTCTTGATTGGTCTCTCAGTTGCCAATGTCTTGGAGTTGAGTTTAAATTCCTTCTACAAACACACAACTCACCAAAAGGTAAAAAATTTCACCACAGAACCTGGGGAAATCTCTGGACTTTGACTATTGTTTCATCTGTACATTTTGCCTAAGTGGAGAAAAAGGTAACATTAATTGTTTCAAATAGAGTATTCTCTCTTTTTTCAAGCATCATCTTCTCTCAAAAGGAAAAAGAAATGGAGTGAAAGAGTAATACTATTTTGTTGTTATAGATAGCAATTTAAAACATGAAGACTACGATTCTACTCTTTTGTCTTCTAGGATCAACTCAGTCATTACCGGTAAGTGCAATATGTTTATTTTATGTACTAAGCAGCCCTTACTACACCTCTAATTGCAGACCTATCTCATACTGCCCTCCATCAAAACTAGTCTGTTCTATGACTTGGCCCCTTAGCTTCATGCTTTTATTCTTCAAGATAAAAGATGGTAAACTAAGAAGTTTAGTGTATATTTCAATGTACTTACATTTTTTAAATGCATCCAATCTGTGCAAAAGGAATGCCTCATTATATCTACTCAAAGTGGACAATCATTTTATTTCCCAAAAAGAACTTAAATTTTCCTGGAAACTAATCATTCTCTCATGATTAAAGAGGTAAGCTACATTTTCTGATTTTTCTAATTGGAAGGACAAAACAATTTAACTCTATTCACTCTAAAAAGGCTACCACAAAGCATGTGATACTAAAGAAATATTTCAGATTAGTTAACATTTTTGACTTAGAATATTTCATCACAAGCATCTTCACATGTAACAAGTTTTGAAATTAAAAAGCTCTAGTATTTGAATATATACTCCAATCTCATCCAACATTTTATAAACATAGACATGGTTTGGATATCTTAATGGACTTCCCTCAGACTATTTGAGATGTTTGAGTGCAGACATTAAGAAAAAATTAGAAGATGCTTGCTATGAGATAGCAGAATAAAGATGATAATTTTCTCAGTTGAACTCAAGCTCACTGGCCACTTCTATAGTCACATTCACAGAATCAAGTTACAAATATTTCAAACACTGCTCTAGTTGCTAGAAATACAATGGTAAACAAAAAACAAAAACAAACAAGCAAATGATAACCATTGATAACCACAAAGATTATAGATACTAATCAAATATTTTTTAAATAAATGTTAAATTAAAAATTAGAACTACAGTTATTTCTATGAAGGAGATGAACAGGATGAGTTTATGGAGAAGAGGTAAAACAAGACATTAATAACCAATATCCTTCTTTTATTCCAAGTAATCATATAGCCTTTAAAAAGAAGTTACTGAAAAATTTTAATTTTCAAAAGAGATAAATAAGGAAGGTTTTTTTTATAAAACAAATAAAGATTTCCCTTCACCAAATAAATTTACCAAAAGTTTCTTGTAAATAGATGTCTCTAAATGTATTTAAATTATCATGCAACTTGTAAAAACTCAAAATAAATAAACCTTTTCAGGAGCACAGCAATCATTTACAATGAAAAACATGCAGGTAAGCATGCATGTAGATTGCTAAGAGCCAATAATGACAGCAGCTAGAGTGGCAGTGGTGCAGCAAGAGTGCAGTGATGCAGAGGATATAGGAGGTGACTAAAATAGCTATTAGATACAGGAGGTGACTAAAATAGCTATTAGATATAGTTGCTATAATTTATCAAATGAAAAATCAGAATATATAGACAAGGTATTTTTATTATTTGTAAGTTAATTTATTAAATTATCATAAAGGCATAAAAAGTTATCAATTTGCAAATGTGGACACTTAAAACAGCCTACCCATTGCTTTCATTAGATCTGAAGTTTAAGAAAGGAGATAAGCAGTGAAGATGGGCCAGGCTGCATGTATTTGGGACAGTGGTAAGAATAGACCTCAATCAGTAGGTGACTCAAGCAGAGGCTTGAAGCAGCTGAGGGAGTGAGTCAATGTCCGGGAAAGAGTATTCCAGAGAGAGGGAACAGGCAGAGAAGAAGCTCTGGAGCAGGAGTGGGCCTCGCCTGTCCCATAAAGAACTAGTAACCTGGATCACAGTAGTAGAGTGAATGGGAGGAAATGAGGTGGGATAGAAACCCAAAGAAGCACTGGCGACCCGGGTCATGAGGGTCTTGTAGGTCATTGCAGGGTCTGTAACTTTTACGGAGTGAAAATGAAAGTCACTGCAGGAATGGAGAAGAGTGACAAGAGAAAACTATTTTCAAAGGACCACTCTATTTTCAAAGGCTGCTATACAGACAATAGACTGTAGAGGATGAAAAGACTTATTTGCAGAATTTATACTTATATAAACTTTCTGCTTAGAGGAAACTCTAAAAACAGAAATGTCAGTCTCACTCTTGAAACTGAGGGGCAATGTCCAAAGTGAAATCAAGAGTCAGCGGCAGCTTCAGGGTATATGCAGGTGGTGGTGCTGGAGGCCACACCCTGACCTCCGGGATGCAGCAGGGACAAAACCAGCTGAGGTCAGGAGGTGCCACCCAAATGCAGAAGGAGGGCTGAAAGAAACTAACGAAAGAATTTGTTTCATGAAGGACTAAGCACTTGTGGGGATCCAAATACAGTCTCTGCTACTCACCATGTCCCAAACGACAGATCACTTTGCTTCTCCAGGCCTCAGTTTCCTGACCTATATTATTATATATAACTAGATATAATATATATAATGTAATATATATTATATATTATAATATATATTTTATATATATTATATAGAAGACTTTCAAGCCTAAAATTCAGTGATTCTTAATACACTAGGATATTTTCTAGGAAATATCCTAGAAAAGAAAGGGACAGAACTTCTGTTCATGAAGTAAAAGCCAAATACTCCATAGGCCTCACCTCTCCATGATACTGGAAGGGTCAGAATAAAATATATAGTACAAATATGGTTTAATGTGTACTTCAGGAGAATTCAGTAGAAATTATGGCAGAATGTCCTCAAGTATTGGGAAAAAGCAAATATGTACAGAGATAAGGTGCAGACTATATTTCATGTCCTGAGAAAGGAGGGTGGCAAGGGTGGCACTTGCAGAAAACAAACAAAAGCCTAGAAACTATCAAAAATCCATGAGCCTTACTCCCCATCTCTCCCTCCTTCCTATACCTCTTCTCCTTTGGCATTTTCCACTTTACAATTATACCTCCTCTCATGAATAAAACAGTCCAAAGAATTTAAAACTGCTCCAAAACACACAGAACCTAAAAGCAGAGATTTTTGCATTTGGGACAACTTGTTACCTCTTAGAAATAAATGGATAAATCTCAAACACATGCCTGCCTCATCAAATATTTGTTATCACAGATGCAACTCAACCCTGCTTTGGGACTTCCTCCAACAAAGCTGGTTCCAGATCAGACAACACTACTTAACCAACAGCAGCCAAATCAGGTAAGAGTCCTATAGCAGAGAATATTTGCAGACAAGCAGAGGAAACATGTTAATTCTAGCAGATTTTTAAATCGAGATTTACACAGTCTCATGAATGAACAAGAGAGAAAGACTTTCTTTTGGGGAGATAAAAGAATACAAGAACCATTATACTTTTTTGAAAAATTTGAGTGGAAAGAAATGCACTGTTGCTCTTTTTCCTTTTGTCTAAATAACAATTTGGTTTTACAAACAAATCTAGTAAACTTTAAGAGTAATATGTATACTTATTGATAACACTTGGTTATCTATGCCCTTGAAATACTGTGTGATATCCTATGTGATATCTGCCAGAGATCACAGAGATTAAGATGTACTCTATAAAAATAACCAGGTTTCCTCATGATTTTCTTCAGTTTCATTGTTCTAATGAGCTGATGTATTATACTGCAAAATGTTTCTTCAAAGCATATTTGAATACTTTTGAAAACTGAATTGTTTCTTGGCTACTCCTTCTTAACTTTACTCCTGTACATATAGACTTTGTGAAATAGTACAATCAGATAACACTAGAATATAAAATTCTCTTTTTAATCTATGAACTATCATAGTCAGTCTCATTCCTAAAGGAACCTGAAGATTATACAGTTTGGGCATCCTCTTTCAGAAAAAGAATATAAAATTACATATGTAAAATTAAGTACTACAATGGATAAAAGTAGATTAAGCTGATAAATACCATAACTCATAATATTGCCAGGGCCCCATACCCAGGACCATGAGAAGGGGAAATGCTAGTGGAGGCAGCAAAGTTTTACCTTAATTTTCCTTTATCATAAAACCATCTACTATGTGAGTATAAGGATAGCCACCATTTGCAGTATAGTAGAAACAAACAAGCTCTTTCTCATACAACAATTTCAATGCCATGCAGGTCTTCCCTTCTTTAAGTCTAATACCATTGACTCAGATGCTCACCCTGGGGTCAGATCTGCAACTGGTAAGCACCCTTTTATGTCTTTTTGCTATTCATTTTGGAGTAACTACAATGCCTAATGTTAAGTATGTGCATATGTTTGTCTATAAACGCTCACATACATGGATATTCATTATAGATAAGTTGAAAGAGAAAAGTCAAAGCTAGTTGGATACCATTCAACACATCATAAAAAGGTTTTCTTAGGAAGAGTGTCTAAAGAATTCATCTAATTGATTTAGTTTTGTCTTACCCTCTGTTTTATTTCTCTTTATTCTACACATAAGTGAAACCATCCAGTATTTGCCTTTCTCCTTCTGATTTATTTTGCTTAACAAATACATGTGTTATCCTGTGCCTTTGAATCACATGCAATGTTGTTACCAATGTACTGCGATAAAAATAAATAAGTATATATAATATATATTTTTAAATATATATTTTTAAGAATTAATCTAATTCTCAAGTCTTCACTTCTTTGGTTCTTCTCACATATCCTCTACACTTCTCCCTTCGTTCCCTGGCATGATTTCCTTACTGACCACTACAACATTTACAGAAATACCATGACCTCTGTCACCACCCCAACAACAAGAGCAAGCTAGAAGGAATAGAAAGATATCTCAATAGTTTAATCTGTCTGGAAGAGAAATATTAAGTTCCTTTCCTAATTAAAGTGAATTTTCCCCTCAGTGGTCAGATTTAAATAAAGCACATATAAGACCAAATTCGGACTAGATATTTTATTCTGACCCTCACAACTTTCGTGGGGATACTTACGACAGAACTTATTTCTTCATAAGAAAGCCATCAAAAAGATTCTAGGAACTATTGGCTATTAAAGCCAAAAAGGGAAAGATAAAATCACCTAAGTAATTCTTAAAGGGAATTGGTTAATGTCAAAGAAATATTGGAAAAAAAAGTTATATATGGTTATACCAATAGACAGACTAAAGAAGTCTTTGAACTTTATATCCTATTCCAAATGCAATATAGTAAACTATATATTTATATAGTAAATCCTCCCTTTAAGATTACTTACATTTAATAAATGCATTTCCATTTCCTGAATGTTCATACTGAAAAAAAAACAGTGACAAATCTTCTTCATTGCCCTACAGCTAAATCCTGCTGCAGGGATCAACCCTGGCACCCAAAATCTCCCGCTGAACCTGGGGGGACTGAATGTACAACAGCAGCTGCAATCTCAAGTAAGTTCCACAATAGGACTTTGGTTTAACATGGGGGAGCATTTTCTCTCTATTAGGTAGAAACCTCAAGGGAGGAAAAATGTCCCCAAAGGAAATTATTTCAAGTTTCTTGAAATTTTTACCCAGATAATTTGTAGAGGGATGTTCTACTGCACAATAAACAGTCTTTGGTAGTGTAATTCTTACTGAAAACACATCCAGAAAACCAAGCACACTGTCCTAACCCTTCTACAATACACTTGCAATGATAACAAGCAAGAGAAAGTTGGGTGAGATTGAAGAGTAAAAAATATAAAGCAAAAAGTTAGAAGTATCAGGGCTTTACTCTTGCTACCCTGTTTTCTACTGAAGACCTGAGGGTGAGAATTGACCCAAAGAAAAATTAAGAGTTAGATAAAATCTAATCCAGAAAATCTAACTTTTCCCTTTTTGTAACTTTTTATCATGCTTCCTCAAAAGTCCCTAAGATTTTCTGATCTTTCCTACCTCCTACCATCATTTACTTTCAGGAAAAACCCTGAAAAACCCTCTCACACTAAGATACAAATGACTGTGTTTCCAAATCGCTCTGGAACTAATATTTTTACCAGATGGATGAGTTCTGATTCTCATCTACCTCTGTGATTAAAGATGTCACTTTAACAACAAATATTTGCTCAACAAATATTGTATCCTTTAAGAAATCTCAATATTTGTATCATCTGCCAGAACTTACCTTGGAAAATATATTTTACTCAATTTTTCCACTATTGTTTTCAGATGTTACCAGTTATTGTAGCACAACTTGGAGCTCAGGTAAAATTATTTTTCAACATAATTTTGATTTCAAATCATCTTATTGTGTGATATTTAATCACGTCTCAAGTCACGGCATAGTTGGCAAGGTTTTTATTTACTTTGCCCTGTATGGACACTGATAATAACAAGCTAACACGTATTAAACATTTTCTAAGTGCCAGATCTGTTCTAAGTATTTTATTTGTTACTATGTATTATTCTACTTAATGTTCAAAACAACCTTTTGCAGAAAATACTTTTTATATAAATTATTTTATTTTATATAATTCTTACATCATTTTTCATTTTTGCATAATGTATGCTTTTTCATTTTGGTTATATTCCCCATACAATTCCCACCCCCTTTTTCTGACCCTAATCCCTCTTGTCCTCCCCCCGCGCCCCACTGTAGTGTGTCTCTGGTCTATAGTTGCTTGTTGATTTTGATTTTTACTTTATTGCAATTAGTCTTTTTCCTGGTCCCTTATTTAGGTTTTCTAAATTCCTGCTATGAGTGAGACCATCGGTATTATTCTTTTTCTTTCTGGCTAATTTTGCTGAGCATGATCCCTTCCAACTCCATCCATGTTGCTGCAAATTGCATGAGTTTATCTTTTTTGATTGCTGAGTAATATTCCATTGTGTATATGTACCACATCTTCTTGATCCAGTCATCTATTTTTGGATATTTGGGTTGTTTCTATAGCTTAGCAGGTATTTACCCAAAGGACACAGAAACATTAATTCAAAAGAGCACCTGCACCCCTATGTTTATAGAAAATACTTTTATTTCCAGTTTGAAAATGAGTAACTGAAAATACTGAGAATTATGAGTTAGTCACACAGAGATGTCACAAATGAAGCAAACAGTCATGTCACAAATGAAGCAAACAGTCAATCCTTTACCACAGTGTTAAGAAAACTTTAATGATTAATAACTTGGATGATTTCTTTTTTAATATCAAACTTATTTATTAATGGTATGTGTTTTCCCTAAAAATACAAATACTTTCTCTCCTCTCTTCTTATTTACCTTTGTGAAAGGGAATTACTGACATCACTTACAAAATTACCAAGGATCAATATCAAATGTGAACAGCAAATGGCAGCTTTTACTTCTAAAAAGAGAATCAAATAAAAAATTCACATCAACTCAATTCTACATTTGGGAACATATCTCAAGAAAGTAATCTAAAATAAATAAATAGTTATTTATAAATATATGTATCAAAATAGTAGAGAAGGGAAGACTATAAGACACAACTTAAGTTTAAACGAAAGGAAAATGATTAAACTGTACAATACATAAGCAAGTACTTGTGATCATTCCAAATTATATTTATCTGAATTTGTCAGTAAAAATTTAGTTAAATGATTATTGCTTAATACATGAAAGAAAGGGAAAGACACAAATCATATAAATGACATGATGCTATGACAAATGAAGATGTGTGAAAATATTGGGAAGAAAATATACCAAACTCCTTAGACTCTGAAAAAAAATAGTGGTTATCAGGGGGGAGAGAGAAGGGGATGGGAGAAAGGGACATTGTGGATTATGTGCTAGTTTATTGCTACTGCAGTTTCAGTTGTAGGTGAATGAAGAGTAGGCGCATGTGTGAAGCTGAACCCCCCTAATTATGCAGTTTTGTATTTACAACTATGTAATGGTAAATCAATAAAATTTGGTTTAAACAAAGAAAAGCCGTCAAACTCTGTATGATGTTTTCTAAGTTTCCTTCAATGTCTGTCCATCACTTAATAATAGAATAATATTTTTTAATGTAGAAGGCCTCACATCATTCAGATAGGTAGTTTAAAATCACGAAGGTAGTTTAAAATATAGACAAAAATTTTTAAATCTCTATAATCTTTAAAAGTATCTTAACTTTTTAAGTTTTAAGGTATATACATTGTGACTTGACTATATTAAAATTTGTCTAATAATGTGTGTTTCCCTTTTAGGGTACTATACTAAGCTCGGAAGAACTGGTAAAAAAAATTTAATTACTTGCATTTCGAATTCTTTCCATTGTAACTGTTACAGGGCAACCCTGATATAAAATGGGTTGCCTGGCTGTGGGTCCTCACCCGTGCGCTTAAAAGGAACTTACTAATACTCCACTGCAGGAACACACAAAAGGTTAATAAAAGGTTTATTTACAAGGGAAGGGGAAATGAGGAAAGGTACAACTCAGGGAGAAAATAGGGAAATAAAGTCTTAAATGCGTCCTACCCATTCCACTGACCTGGAAACCCAATGGCACTCTGAGAGCTGGCAGCGAGCCAAGAGCAGTGAAGCCAAAAATTCCCCCCAAGGCCCACGTGTCTGATTTTATACCAAACCTGGTTGCTTAACTCCACCCTCAGGTCCCAGCAACCTTCCCTTTGGTGGTGATGGGATTTGTTTTTCCAATGTCCTGATGGCTTTGGTCCGGAGTGGGGCTGGAGTTCACAAAGCCTGTATGGAATTAGCTTAGGACATCCTTTCTCCCTAACATTACCACAATATTGTTTGCTTTCTCATTCTCTTTGGACCACATATATAAATCTGATATACTACAATAAGCTGAACATTTTTATAGGTCCTTGCATTTGGGTTTTCTTTGGTCTAGCTGCCCATTTATTTCACCGCCATTATCCAGCTATTTTTTAATTAATTAGACTTTGCTTTTGTTTTCTATATATTGATGTCAGATTCTATCCAGAATTCACCAATGCATATTTTTAAACTTTATACTGGTTAAAATCTAAGATTATAAATTATTGAAATGCATGTAGACATAGAATAATACATATATTGATACTTACTGTAGGAAAGATTAATTTTTTGACAAATGTTTAATTATTTTAGGAAAATGCATTACATTCCTAGTATCTTATAATGATGTGTGAAATCATACATATGCATAAGTAGAGAGCTGAACCTAAATAAATCTCATATTACCATTACTAGGCACATCTATGCATTTCCTCATAAGTCATTTTTAGAGGAAAATGACTTGCACTAATGTAGTATCTAAATATGACACTGAAATCAAGAGCTGAGGCAATATCTGGGAAGACAGTTTCTTTTTATCTTTCCACTATTGAAAAGGTAAATATTTACTAAATTGTTCATAAGTAAAATCAAGTCATAGGGCTATTTGCCAACACTTATACATGAACCCATGTCTACCAGCTGTTCAGTCAATTCTATATAACAGGCATCTTAGTAGGTCTTTCACATACATTACCTTGAATTCTGACCAAATTATAAAGTTTTTTTTTAAAGATTTATTTATTTATGCATGTAAGAGCTGGGTACAGGCCAGAGGTGTGGGGGGTGAGAGAATTCACCAGCGGCGGAGCGGGGAGCAGAACAGGCAGACGGACTGAAAACAATGCTGTGGGGAGCAGTGGGCAAGACAGGAGAGGTCTGCTGCGCCATGTGGGTATCTCCCTGGCCAGCCAGGAATCGAACCCACGCTGCAGAGGCTGCAGACAGCTTTCCAGCACTGCACTCACCCACTGTGCCACCAGGGAGGCCCAAATTATAAAGATTCTTAACCCAACTTTATATATAAAAAAACTGAGGCTTGGAGAATTTATGCAAATTATGTTCCACTATCAAAAGAGTACATCCAGATCAAAAGCCATTTTTCTAGCTACTATTCTAATGATTTTCACACCTTTTTTATAAAACCCAGAGTAACAGCTACATTATACACACACCCAAGTATAAAACAAATGTTTACTGGTAGTTATTTTTTGGTCATAATTTTCAATAATGTTCACCACTATCTTCTTTATTTAAAATTTAGGGATATCAGTACCCCCAATTTGAAAACTTTTGTATTCTACTCCTATCGCTCATCCTGCATAAGTCTAATTCTGATTTCAGTACCTCATAAATGTAACACTATTCCCAAACTTCACTCCTGGACCACCAAATCAGTACCACCTGGAATGCTGGCTAAAAAATGCAGATTTCTGGATCCTGCTCAGTCAAATCTCTCTAACAATGGAACCCAAGAATCTTCCATTTTAAAAAGCACCTCAGATGTTTTTTATACAAACTAACAACTGATAACCATGCTCAAGGGAACTGACCTGTTACTTTAATTATGAATACTCAACCCTTTTTATTCTCTGAGAATGCCATGAGAACTAGGAGATGCAGAGAAACTATTTCCTAACTGAATGTGCTTCAAATCAAAGTGATAATAAATTATATCTCCTCAGGACTGTTTTTTTGCAATAATTTTCCTCCCAGGAAGGGAAAAAAGGATAGACAGCACCGGCATTCATGGGCAGTGTGCAAAACATTGATAATTCAATAGACAGGAGTTTAGTTTCATATCCTCAAGGAATACACAGTGGCTGAATTGCCAAGAGAAATATTAAACTGAACATTCCATTGTTTTTGGAAATAACATCAAAAAAACCATGAAGGAATGTAAACTATGAGATAAGGACCTATGAATCTACTTGAATTAATTTTTCCATGACTTTTTAGTCTACAAAATAACTTTAAAATTTTTTGAACAAAAATACAGTAGTTTAGGTCAGTAACAAAGATATGACCCACATAATTATATGGATTTTTGGCCTTAGTTCTACTCCAGATACACCTGATATGAATAAATAGTGCATTATTCCTTCTCCAGTGATTGGCTTAATTCTTCTTTCCCTTTCAGAGGGAAATGGAGCAAGAATCTCAATAATGAAACCAGCATCAGGTTTGACTTAGGCCAGGGAGAAATCTGCTCTACCCCTCTATCCTTACTGCCCAAACTTGCTGCCCTCAAAGAAGAAAAGCTGATTGACCAGCCTTAAAATGTGTCCCTTTTGACTTTGTTTTTTGTTTCCATCCTTCATTCCAGCCAGTATCTCCACACATCTTCACAGGCCTCATCTTCCAGCCCTTATTCCCCGGAGCCATCCTACCCACCAGTCAGGCTAATCCAGATGCCCAGAATGGAATCCTTCCCACAGGACAAGTAGGGATAAATCCTGCTACCCAGGGAACTCCAGAGGGCCACTTACCAACTCCCAGCACCACAGATGATGACTTTGGAGTAACCACCCCTGCAGGCATCCAAAGAGGTTTGCACACTACTGAGGAAACCACCACAGGACTACCAAATGGTAAGTTCTCAGGATCTAGAAAATGCCCATAGATCATGAAAATCATCTGTCGAGTGGAAGAGTTCTTTCTTTTCACTTAACAAATAGAGACTATAATAAAATCCAGGAACTTCCTTCACTCACACACAGTTGATTCCAGCAACGTGAGGGAATATTTTTACCAGGCCACCAACCCTATCCTAGTAACCCAGAAAGAAGACATTTAATTGCTGGTGAAATGTACTTTCCATCTTAGGTCAGAGCTGGAAATATTTGGAAACTCCCCAAACAGAACAGTCTCTGTTCCATCTTCTCCTACCCCCTACACGCACACACCCCCATAGCAATCACAGTGAGTTAATAATGACACACTTTCCCACTCACTGATCAAGAAGGAAACTTAGAACCCTACTAATGTAAAGTTGCAGGAAGCCACAGTCATAGATGGGAGTCAGCACAGTAAATCAACTCCTGTGCCAGTCCCCTTGGGTAGTTCGTAGAAACTCAGAAATATTCCGAAAATGAGCAATTCTAGCACCAACAAGCCAAGACAATCAATTCACATGTGGGAATGTCTAAACCAAATATCCTTGGAGATAACAGAAGAATTATTTCATATTGAGAATCTTTCTCCTGAAAAAGAAATTTTTATTTCAAGCAAAATGTTTAAGTTCAATATTCTTTTACCTATACTTAGAATGTGTTTTGTTCTGTTCCAGGTATTCAGTAAGTTGTTTCCATTTTTTTTCAACTAAGCACCCCATTTGTGGTGCTATTTTTCATTGATCATGATGGAGACACACCGGAGGATATCACAAGAAACTAATTCTAAGTTTTTATCTAAAAAATTTCTTGAAATTTCAGAAAGCTTATTCTTCATAGAGAATACTGACTTCTGAAAAAGAATAATTTAATGGATAAATTTGTCTTTGAAATGTAACATTGTGATACCACCTTGGACCTGGAAGATGTTTATTAAACTGTGTTTTGAAACATTCTTTTTCTTTACTGGGGATGGAAGAACGTTGTACACTTTCAGAACAGCACTTTTCTCAGAATATTGAATAACACTCCATGTTAGGATTTCTTTGCAATTAGAAAGTAAATGGTTGTAGGAGTGGACACCCAACAAAAAAAGGACAAGTTCTGATTTCCTCAGAGCTGCAATATACCCTGCTTTCTCTCATAAAAGCCACAAATTTAATTTCTGATAAGCAAATTATTTTTGATCATCTTAAATATACAGTCAAAACAAAAAAATATAAATCACATCATATAGGGGCCTCCCTAGTTGTGCAGCGGTTGAGCGCTGGGTTGCGAAGCTGCCCGCAGCCTCTGCGGCACCAGTTCAATCCCCGGCTGCCTCCCGGCCACCGGAGGAGGCTCCCGCATAGCGTGCTACCTCTCCTGCTGCCCGCTGCTCCCCTCAGCAGTGTACTTCGGTCCTTCTGCCTGCTCTGCTCCCCGCTCTGGCTCTGGTGAATTCTCTCACCCTCTGGCGCTTCTGACTGTACCCAGTGCTTGTATAAATAAATAAATAAATAACTCTTTTTAAAAAATAAATAAATCACATCATCTATCCTCTAGTTATTAAAATACAGAAATGCTAATGATTACTAAAATAGTAAATGCTAATGATTATAGCATTTAGTGTTTAACTTTGACATGTCTAAAAGTGAGAAGTGACATTGATAAAAGTATCACTAAAGGTAAGTGATACTCTTTATCTGTATACCTGTAAAAGAAAATTCAATCTGATTTAAATTTATAACCGAGATGGTTGCAATTTAAAGTGGGAGGGAAAGGGGCGATTAAGACAAACTACAGTATAACATCCACAAAAGAAAGCTATGCAGAGGTTTAATAACTTTCCTCAATATATTTGACTCAGCCTTATCAGTATGGAACAAACCCAAATATATACTCACAAAATATATTTTATATTTTCAAGGTATTAAAGAGTTATTAATGATTCAATATCTATTAGCCACTGTTTCAGATTTTCAGAATCTGAGTAACATGTATGAATGGCCAAATGAGAGTATATTAGCACACAATTTTCCAAAAATATTTTGTCATTTGTATCATCTGATAGCTATTAAAAGTACTATAAAAACCTACTAGATACAGATAAACTCATGCCATTTGCAGCAACATCGATGGAACTAGAAGGAATTATGTTCAGTGAAATAAGCCAGAAGGAAGAAGAAAAATATCAGATGATTTCACTTATAGCAGGAATATAGGAGAATCAAATAAGACATCAGTGTAAAAAAATAATAACAGTACAAAACACAACAAAGCAAAAATGGGCAATTATAAATCAGAGACACACTGCAGGGGAGCAGAGGGAGAAGCATCTGAGGGAAGGAGGGAGGAACACAGAGGACTGAGGTGATGGTGCACGGGTGCATTGGTGAAGGAAACTCTATAGGGACTACACCTGAGGTGGTGGGGGAAGCAAATATTGTTTAAAAATGAACAATGATGTAAAAAATAAAAAAAATTAATAAAAAAAAGAAAATAAATGACATTAGAGAAATTAAAAAACAAAACAAGAGATTTTTCTGCTAAGAAAAAAGCATGAAAATGAAATGATCAAAAAACAAGTCATAGACAGGGAGAAAAGCTTAGCAAAACCTTTATCTAATAAAGGACTGGTATCCAATATATTATATAAAGAACTCATAAAACTCAATAATTCTTTAAAATATAATTTTTAAATGGACGAAGTTTCTAAATACTTCACCCAAAATATGTAAATACAATGGCAAGTAAACATATGGGAAAAATTTTCAACTTCATATGTCAGCATGAAACTGCAAATCCCAAAAGCAATTAAATCCTGCTACACACATATTAGAAAGGCTAAATCCACAAAACTGATAATTCCAAATGCTAATAAGGATGTGGAGCAACAAGAACTCTCATTCATTGCCAGTGGAAATGCAAAGTAGTTATAGCCACTTTGGAAGATAATTTAGCAGTTTCTTACAAAACATATCCAACGGTCAATTGCACTCCTTAGCATTTACCTATATGAGTTAAATTATGTTCATGCAAAAATCTGCATACAGATATTTATAGCAGCTTTATCTTTAATTGCCAAACTTGGAAACAAACAAACTGTATTTTTAAGAAGTGATAAACTGTGGAACATCCAGGCAATAGAATATATTATTCAGTGTTCAATGCACAAAAAGTCAACCTTTGAAATAAACTTAAATGCAAATTGCTGAATAAAAAGAACCAATCTACCATGGTGATGGACTATGGGTACTTTGATAGTGAGAGAACTACAGTGATCACACCTGAGGGGAGAAATTCTATACTGTCAAAAAATTAACAAGGATGTAAGAAAAGGTACTTCATCAAAAAATAATTTGTTTTAAAAAAAGGAGCCAATCTGAAAAATCTACATTCTGTATGATTCCAGCTAGATGACATCAGGATGGTGTCAAAAGCAAAATGATGGTGACAATAAGATGATAAATGGTTTCCAGAGATTCAGACAGAGGGATGAATAGGTGGAGCGCCAATGAGGTATTACTTTATACCTATGACAATGATTATTATGCAATAGACAAGAAACAACAAGTATTGGAGAGAGTATGCAGAGGAGGGAGCACTTATACAGTGTTGATGGGAATGTAAATTTAAGCATTAGGGAAAGAAGCATGGAGATTTCTCAGAAAATTAACAATAGAAATTCCATACAATCTAATTATCCACTTTGGGGTATTTATCAAAAATAGTAATCCAAAGATATATACACTCCCCCATATTTATTTTAGCACTAATTACAATAACCCAGAACTAGAAAAAACCCACGTGCCCACTAATGGACAAAGAAACCCATGCTGAGATATGCCATTAGTGTAAAACACACACTGGATTTTGAAGATTTGTTACAAAAAGAGAATGCAAGCTATCTCATCATTATTTTATATTGATTCTATGTTTAAATGATAAAAATTGGGCAAATTGGAGTAAATAAAATAGATTTTAAAATATTTTTAATTGGCAAATGGATAAAGAGGTGGTGTGTGTGTGTGTGTGTGTGTGTGTGTGAAATACAGTGAAATACTATTTAATTATAGAAACAGACGAAATTCTGCCATTTGCAACATGGACGGACTTAGAGGGAATTACGATTACTAAAAATAAGGCAGATAGAAGGGCCTCCCGGGGGTGGCGCAGCGGTTGAGCGCTGGGTTGCCAAGCTGCCTGCAGCCTCTGCAGCGCCCCTGTTCGACTGTTCGATCCCCGGGTTCCTGGGGTAGGGTCCCACATGGCGCGCAGACCTCTCCTGCCGCCCGCTGCTCCCCTCAGCAGTGTACTTCGGTCCCTCTGCCTGCTCTGTTCCCCGCTCTGGCTCTGGTGAATTCTCTCACCCTCCTGCACTTCTGACTGTACCCACTGCTTGTATAAATAAATAAATAAATCTTAAAAAAAAAAACAGTAACAGCAAAAAAAAAAAAAAGCAGATAGAAAAAGATAAACATTAAATGATTTCACTCATGTGTAGTACATAGAGAAAACAAACAAAATAACAAATAACCAAATAACAAAACTAGTGGTTACCTAAAGGAAGGTGGTGGGTGGATAAATCAGGGGGACAACGTGATGGTGAAGGATTGATCTGGACTTTTAGCAGTGAACTTGATGTAGTAATACACATGCAATGTAGTAATACAAGTGTTTATTCTCAACAATAAACACCTGAAACTTATGTAGTTAGAAAATGTAGTGATTTCAATTTAACAAAATAAAATTAAAATTAACAAAAAAATGTTTGTTCCTCTATTTACATAAAAGGAAAGTAGAAATTTCCTATCACTCTGAGCACCTTGTCTCCTTCTCTTTACCTGAGAACTGATATGAATAACAGGATTTGTTTGGGGGTCCTTACTTCAGCTGTGCCCATCATGATGGCATGTACCAGGAGGGGCTTTTGACAAGAGAAGGAAGAGGAAAGGAAGTGAGTTTTTAAGTATAATACCAACTGGTTACAAAGTGGTCATTGTTTGCAGTATGAAAGTTCTGAGCTGCTGTTAGACCCACAGCCACCGATTAGACTCCCCTCAAATTGCCCCATCTAAGCTAGAAGGGATCATGCTCAGCAAAATAAGTCAGAAAAAAAAAAAAGAAAAATACCGGATGGTCTCACTCATAGCAGGAATTTAAAAAACCTAAATAAGGGACCAGGAAAAAGACTAATTAATACAAAGTAAAAATCAAAATCAACAAGCAACTATAAACCAGAGACACACTATGGGGGGAGGGGTATGGCGAGGAGAGGAAGGATTAGGGTCAAAATAAGGATTAGGGTGGGAATTGTATGGAGAATATAACCAAAATGAAAATGCATACATTGTGCAAAAATGAAAAATGATGTAAGAATTACATAAAGTAAAATATTTTTTAAAAATTGCCCCATCTAGTGGGAAATCAGATGGAACTGACAACTTGCCCTGGAAACCTGAGACAAGGACTTGTAGGAACCCAGGCTAATGGAAAAGATTTCAGTACAAGGGAAAAGTCAGTTTTTTCTCCGACAAAGTATAAAGCAATATAGAAACATAAACTGTTATTTCCAGGAGAGTTGGGGGGACTCTTCTCTGTGAGTAACCAGTGGGATAACTATCTATAGCCCCTGTGAGGTGCTGTGGGTAGGAGAACTTTCCACTAATCTGACAGGTATTTTTCTTGTGGGCACTGTGTGTGTGC